AATGGAAAAATATTCAAAACTTTTCCACAATTCTTCACTACGATGGCAATTAGTTCACGAAATGAATCCACGGTGAGGTTGTCATCCCATATCTTTGTCAATTTCCAGTGCCTTGGATTACCAAATCTCTCAAGTTAGGGAATGCCACCTACAAAAGATTTATTTGGTTGTGCTAACAATGGAAAATACATTATACTACCAGTGACAAGATATACAAAAGAGATAGAAAAGTAACAACTTCAAATCTCAACAAAAATTAAAGAAAGCTGAAAACAATAAATAAAAGAAAAGCTACAAGCATAAAGAAATATAAGAGCATTTACGAATACATGAGCTTAGAATAAGAAAGTAACATTGAAGAAACCAACAAAAACTAATCTTATAACTACTTGGGAAAAAAGAAAAAAACCCTAACCTCATCACGGAAAAAGGGTGGAGTACCAATTGTCTCTGACTCGTTCTCTCTAATAAAAGTAGAAGCGAATGCAAACGTCTTTGGACAATCTACTACCATAATCTCTACCAAAGATGGGCATTCCATAGTAGTACCTCCCAAATAAAAGCTCGTCAAGTCTGAACATGACACAAGACTCATGCTCTGAAGGGAAGGGAACATGATTGAGTTTGTTGTGAATTCCTCTGTTCCATCATTCCTGATAATTTGCTTTATCATGGAGCAATTTTTTACAATGATCTTCTTGAGTTGCACAAGATCCAAAGTCAGGGAAGCAGTAAATATGTATACCGAGCTATTACATTCATAAACTTCCAAACATTGAAGACTTTTAAAATGTAAACTTTCTAGAAGATTTTGCTTCCATATTTCCACTGACTTAGAAAACTCAGAGAGTACTAGATACTCCATTGCTTTGTATTCAACCTACAAAATCCAATTTACTACATCATTTATATTATGAAAACAAGTACCATAAAAAAAAAAAAAGATGAAAGCCAAATTTATCACTCTACTTAGAATAATATTGAACCAAATTTAACTCTAATCCATGAAGAAGTGCAATTTTAATATTATACTTTTAATGCGATTCAAATCGATAAATAATAGGAATATTATCTTTTACTATTAATTTTTATTATTTTTATAATTAGAAGTACAATGTTAAAATTGTACACGTTCAATGATACGTGGTAATTTTGGTTCGTCACCTTAATTAGAATGATAAACTTTGAGCCTCATCCCAAGAAAAACAAAAAGCTTAAAGCAAAATTAAACCAGACAAATAATTTGATCCTTATCTGTGCTTCAGAACAACACCCATTAATAAAAATCTTAAAATGAGCCTAACAGGACAAATGATTTCAAAGATAAATAAACTATTGTAATACTTTTTTTGCATACGAATGTTTAACAGTGCTATTAAGGTCACCATCCCAATGTCTCTTCTCATCTTCACCTGTAATTACTTGTACTCTTTGCAAAATTGGTGCATTGATATCTACCTTGCAAAAAACCTTCAATTCAGAACACTGGCTCACTATTACTTGATCCAAAGATGGAAACCCAAAATTATGATTGCTTGAACAAAAGCTTTTAAGGCTTGGTAAATGTCGAAGCTCCAGACATTTCAACCTATTGAAAATGATGTCATATGTTGCTTCAACGTCTCCGTTATTTCTCACAATTTCTTTCATTGAAACACAGTTTCTTATTTGAGCTGCAGCAAACTTTGGACTGTTGAGGATGTAAATAAGTTTATCAATGCCTCGCACTCCCAAAGATCCAAAGTCATGAGCTTTTGAAAAGGTGTTGAGGACAATCCTGAGCTAATCATATTGCCACAATTGAAAACCTCAAGAGTTTCAAGATTGGGAAGAATGCAGTCTAGTGGTGACTCTTGCATCCGTATGTGCTTTAGATGATGAAGGCTGTTCAGTCTTAAGTTTCTAATTGGTAAAACTATCTCAGCTTTCGTCTCATTTCCAACATCTCCTTCATAAGAGAACACCTCTTTGAATTTGCAGCAAGTTGCCTCAAGCATTTCCAGATTGTTGAATCTTTCCAGAAAAGTAATTGGGAAAATAGCAGATGAATCATGGTGGCAGAGGATTTGAAGAACTTCAATTTTACGGAAAGGCTAGTGGAAAACTTGTTATCACATATCATTGCAATGTCATCACTGTTTAAAGACACTTCTTCTAATTTAGGGATGACCAGCAAAACTAATGAAAAGTCAATTACAATTTTGTACTTCATGAAAAAAAATCATGAAACGCTTATTCTACTACCGTTCAAGAGAAAAATAATTACATACATACATGTGATACATATGAGTCTTTGGATATGTTCAGGTCGTATCTTAAACTTTAGTTCACTTTTTTTATTCACAATTGATTTCAATTTTCCTAATCCAATTGAAACACATTTGAAATATAGGGAACTGATACGACCACATTTGAATCAAATGAGTAATGATATATATTCTAGGTTACCAAGAAAAAAAATCAAGTATATGTCATTGTTTGGACCAACTGGTAACTTAATTTTAAGTATGAAGTAGGTTTCGTACATTTTCAACTAAGAAAAGTGGTGGTTGGATTGGGGACTCCAATTGGTCATCCTCATTCGTATCTAGCAAATTAAGACATCCGATGTCAAGTATCTTCACTTCATTGCAATGGTATGTTTTCAACTTGTCTAACATTGGCCACTTTGTTGTATAAATCCCTGGATAGAAGCATTTAAGTATTGGCAGGTTCCAGAGCATAAGGGAGGACACCCGATCAAACTCAAAATTAGTAACTGTCGTTTCCCATCCTTCTACTTTCGAAACAATCTCCTTCACCGCCAGCTAGCTACTGTAAGATCTTTCAGCTGTAGAAGAACTCTGGCTACTGAAGCTGGAAACACGTTCTTCAGATTCCAACAGTTCCAAACAAAATCTACATTTAGATTTTGAAATGTTAAAATTCCTTGGGGGTCCTTGTTCCAAACATTCTTCAATTTTGGAAGATTAACAACATACATTAATTCTCTTAGTTGAGTGGCCACGGCTTGTGTTTCTTTCATATTAATCCTTTGGAGTTCAAATATATGTTCCACTGAACCACAATTAGATACCTCTAGAGTTTGCAGTCGTTGAAATGTACTCAATAAATCAAATGGAAAAATGGTAAAGCCTCATTACGGTGTTCAACTGCCATTTTTTCCAGTTCGCAAAAGGAATTTACAGAGAGTTATTGATTGTGCCATATCATCTTCATATTTCTCAAGCAGGAAATGCTCTGTCCCTCCAAACTAGGGAATGCAACCTACGTGTAATGTGAAAACAAGAGCAATTAGTTCCGAAAATAAAGGTAACTTAAAATAGGAAAGCAAGTAGAGCAAAGAACTTTATAACAACAAATCTACCTCTTCATCAAAGAGAGTTTGTGGAGAGAAATGTTGGCTTTCCTCCATTGTAGATTTATATATGAATCCCTGCAACTGAGGACATTGCTGTATCTCTAGAAACTTCGAGGATGGGAATTCAATAATGTAATTTTCTGAACAAAACCCAATGAGATGTTGAAGATTCCTCATCTTTGGAGAGTTTAATTGAGGAAATGAAATCATAGCTTTGCCTTCTTTTTCTAATTCCTCTGTGAATGTCACCTCTCTTAAGCATTTGCATTCAACTATGAGCATTTAAGATGCACTAGGCTTCTAGCCATGGAAGATGATAATAGATTTTTTAAGTTGTCACAAGCCTCAATAATCAAACTTGTTAGATTTTGAGTGTAGTACTCAGATATATTTGAAAGCCGATTGTGGCATATCCTTTCAACATTGATTGAAGAAAAATGAAGGTTCTCCAAGCAAGGGAACACTAACTATATTCATGAAATTATACTAAATTAATAGAAAAATTAGAAAATTAAAATGTAACATAAGAAAAAGACTAGTTTTTTAGTATAAAATGCTATGACAAAAATTATGAAATGGTGTTTGCCAATGCAATGGTATGCAGTGTATTTGAACAAAAATTACTTCCTCCCCTCAAGAGAAACAGATTTTGTGCTATCAATTTTTTATTTGAAGATCTAAATGACTATTCTAATAAATTTTAGATCAAATCAGATTAATGATGGTCACTAACTTATGTTAATAAATTTTTTAAAAAAATCTGAATAGTAATAATACGTTGAAGCATCAACATTCAAGTCAAGGCCTTATTGTCAATCAAAAAAGGATTGCATTTATGAGCATATATAGTTTTGGGGGAGGTTGGAATTGAGACCAACATGATATGCATTTGAACGAACATATAAACAAAAATACTTATATTTGATATACCATAAGAATATATATTTCTATACACTATCAATGAATGAAAGGTCTTTTGGACGTCAATATTACGGTAAAATTGGTGTCAAGGTAGAGATTTATTCGATATTAACTCAAATTCTATTTGAAAATTAGTTTGAATTCAGTAAAATTCTATTAGTTAAAACTTACATGATAATTAAGAATAAATATTCTTAATGGATAAAAGTTATTAGTAAATAATAATTTTTAGTGATCAAATAATAAAGCTTTATAAATATGGAATAAGTATTAACTTGTATAATTTCACTTAAATTCAAATTGATTTTCAATTAGAATTTGAGTTAGTATCTAACAAACATTTCCAATCAATGGAGGCAGCTGGATAAAGTACTTAGATGGTTGGGTTACACAGAAGGTCAAGCAGGTGATCAAGTTAGATGGGCTGCAGTGAATACTATTTAATTCTTGCACCATCATAATGAAACCGGATCAAGACTGGCAGAGGTAATGGCAATGGGGAATCTAAATGCTGTTCTTACAATTAAAATAAGATGTATCGTTAATGCTTTTACTTGAACAATAACTCTTCAGCCAGTGAAGAAGCTGTACAGTGGACTCTGCTCCATATGCAACTCTGGAGATTTAAACCTGATCATCCATCTTGAATTTCTGGCTGACAACATGATGACCGGAGGTGGAAGCCGAGTGAATGAATAGCTATTAACAGTTGGCAATCTTAGCCAAATTTTGCTTTGGTCTGCAAAAATGATGCTCTTGTCGAAACCGGACAAACGACCTCAAAGAAATTGTGAAAGAATCCGTTGTCATACACATTATTCTTTACAACACCTTCAGTATCCTCTAGAGGGGACCTTCTAAAGAAGGATTTACATTTGGTCTCCGAAGGCTTTCCATCACTACTCATCCTGGTGATGCTTGCTTTCAATGCTGCAACACTTGCTCTTGCTTCACTCCATTTCTTCTGCCAGCTTAAGTAGTCTTGCCACTTGAAGGTCTGTATTTTCAGACAGATGAGAACATATGATTCTAGTTTCATGGTTTCAACTACAACTCAATTTGCGCAGCCAACTATTTCATGGTTTATGTTCGGTCAAGGCTGGGTTGGCAAATTCAGGCAACAAACCAATTGACAAGGTTTAAACGGCTCTCACCTCATTCATTGCGGTGTTTGTGAGACAATGATTAGCATGATACCCAAAGAAACTCGCCAATAAGAGAGAAACTATAGCCATGAACACCCTAAGTGGTATTTGGGCGTTATATGAACCCAACAGCAACTGCGACAAACCAAAAGACAATTTATTGAACTCAAAATATCTACTGCAAGATCCAAAACATAAAGCAGAAAACATTCAAAATAATGAAGGCACTATAGGAAGTTAATCTTCCTATAGTTGTTTCAAAACAAAAATGGTAGTCTCAAATCAAGCAATAACCCTTGGCAATAATTCAGATTACAGAATATATATGAAACTCACCTCTACAATATGAGGAGCTAAACCACGAAAAGAATCATCTACACCATAATAAACTGAAAAACAAAGAAAATGGCACGGAACATTTAGTATATATGAAGAGCATTAAGAAACTAGAAAATCTTAGTACAAATCGATCTACCCGTTAAAATATATACTACTTTCAATTCTTTCAATCGTCCAGTAAGGACCAATCCAAGAGCAATTGTCCCGTACATGTAAAGAAGGATATGGCTGCAGAATGCTAAATATGATATTCAGTCTTCTTTAGAATTGTAGGTTTGAAGTAATAACTAGAATTGACTAAATGAAGGAGAAAACAAGAATTGTTGAAACAACTAATTACAAATATCATACAGAAATCCACATTGTCAAAGGCTGAACCAGTAAAGCATTAACAGAGGAAATAATAACTTAGAATTTGAAGTCTATGGCAGCCATCTATTGACAGTAGCCATGACAGGAACACATGAAAGATTAATATCATGTGATGGAATTTACGGTTAAATAAATGCAAGGTGTCTCCAAATACATAGTCGTAAAAGAGATCTTTTAGAAGATCAACATCCAAACTACTGATAAGCTACCTAGAAATCAATACAAAAAATCCAAATCAATCGAAAATAGCAAAAATTTAAAAACAAACATTGGTGGGTAGTGAGATAGGAATATGGCAGCTTTGACAAGGTTGGTGGTAGAGCATAGAAATTGTGACAATATGAGAAGACAAACGAAATTTTGCAAAAGAATACCTTTAATTCTCAAAAGATCATGAGGCGAAGCACTTCTCTCAAAATCATAGAAAATATTGTTTTTATTCAGCTTGAAAATGTGTCAGACAACCTTCCTCTGCTATAGAATTCTGGACATTCTGTAAACATAACATCATGATAAAAGTGAAAGCAAACACTGTTAAAAGAACCACATATTTTCAGAGAATTCTATAAACAAGGTGACATATACAACCATTATATTTTGAATATGCAACTAAATAAAATATTTAAAATATCAGATTAATACTTACTGCATGGCTATAATCTTCCATTCTGTAAAAATGTTACTATGAATTGTAAACTTTTATGAATGGGCATCAAATCTTCATTTCAATAATAATAATCTTTATTACCAGGTAAAGAATGCAGGTGTGTCTACGCCATCCTATATATGTAGTTTTGTTGTCTGCTAAAAAACAGTTATCCATCAACTAAATCCATGAATTCTTCTCAGAAAGATTAAATTTAACTAGTCTGCAATCACCTCTAAGAATATAGAGAAGCAATCATAATTAATTCAGCAAATTGCAAGTATTTAGAATGTTAGCTTTAACAGAGTGTAGAAGCAAAAAAAATAAAAAATTCTTAAATTTTGAAAAAAAAAGTATCTGAATAAACATATACCATTGCTCTGAAAATTTGTTCCATGGTGGTGTTTTAGATTGCCATCCCAACACTCTTTATCTTCAGCAAATTGCACTTTCAGCAAACTTGGAGCAGGTAACTCTCCTCTGCAGAAAATTTTCATTTTTGGACAGTTTCTCTCAATAACCTCTTCCAAGGAATGGAATCCAAGGGCATAATTACAATATTCTACTCTGCAAAGCAATTCATTTGGTGCACCTCTTCAATGGAGGTGAAAGCTATTCAAGGTATCGCCCTGGTTATAAGTTGTCCTGGAATGCCATAGCCGCTATTTTAAACAAGGTAGCTAAGCGCTCTTTGACTGGCTTAAACTCCTGACAGGTGATTCAGGGTAGATCCCAACATATGTATGCATCAAAATTCATTTCTGAACCTATAAAATTTGGTAAATGGTTAACAATGAAGTGTGTGTGAAAAAAAAAATGAAGGTTATGGAAGTAAAAGACTTACTCACCATCTGATTTCTCACTTCAACTGAAGGAACATGATTGAGCCTCAAGTGTCTCACAAATTTAAATGAAAAAAAGTATTCAAGTCTTTTACAATCAAACACCTACAGAAGATTTAGTGATTTGCAAAATGAATCCTCACGGAGTTGGTTGACTCATTATGCCATAACTTTCTCCAGTTTCCCGCACCTATGATGCTCAATTCCTTTAAGCAAGGGAATGCCACCTATGAAATTTGTTTGCTTGTGTCAATAATTGCATAGAATTTAAGGTAAGATTAATGGAGAGAGAGTAATGATACAGAGAAAACAAAGTAATAGAGTATCACTATCACCTTTTCATTGAAAAGAGTTGGACAGGCAATCTCTGAGTTGTTTCCTTCTGCATCAGAGACGAACGTATCTAATGTAAGACAACTCTCTATCCTAACAATTCTCAACAAGGGGAATTCAAGGTAACTTCCGTGGCAGAATCTCGTCAGTTTGGGAAGGTATTTGAGCAATAGGAATTCTAGTTTACGGAACAACTTTTGGCTCATCAGTTCTTCTTTGGCTAATTCCTCTATCAAGATTACTTTTTCTACATTCTCACAATTCTCAATGTTAAGAATCTTGAGTTGCACAAAACTTTCCATCATTGAGGACGAAAATAGACAGTTTAAATTGTGACACCCCTCGATAGTCAAGCATGTTAAATATTGAGCACAAGAAGCAGCTGTTGCCAGAAATTTTTTATGCCGGATTCTCTGAATGTTGATTGAGGACCGTTCCAAATCCTCCAAGCTTGGAAAAACCTGCACACAGTATATATATTCCTTAATGCATGAAAAACTTTCCACTCTTTAGCTGATTAAAAAAAAAAAAAAGAACACGTGAATGACCGTACTAGAGAAGCATGCAAATGATAAGAACTTGTCTGCTGCTTTTGTTTTTCATTTTCTCAATCACCAAATAAGAACAAAAGGTTTTAACTAGAAAATTTTAACTTAATCAAAACTCTATAATGTGATCAGTTGCATTGGCAGACATATCAAACTGTCTGTATTTGTGCCTTACTTGCTGATATGTCTGCATAAATGTCTGGTGTAAATCTTGCAATCAATGAATTTTTTAAGGGGACCAAAAAGCAGAAAAATCTATTGTTACAACATTCTTACAAGTCATATAACCATTAACAGAATGTACAATATGGAAAGTTAGAAAGCCAACAATCGGGCAATGTCGCAATTCAAGTGGAATATGATCATGCACATAAAACAATGTAACAATGTTAAGGAAATCATTAGAATTGATGCATACCTTCTCTGTAAACAACTGTTGAACAATGGCATTGAGGTTGCCTTCCCAATGCCCGAGATATTCACCTTCAGCTGATTGTATTCCCTGCAGCATTGGTGTGCTCAACCCTCCCGTAGTGAAAATTTCCATCTTTGGACACTGTCTCATTATTAACTCTTCCAAGGAAGGGAATCCAAAGGCATAATTCCCTGAGCAGAAGCTTGATAGGCTCGGAAGACAACCAAGTTCCAAAGTCTTCAGTTGGGAGAACACGATGCCATCCATCAAATCATCACTTCCACGAGCTATGATTTCTTCTATCATTTGGCAATCAGTAATACTCATTTCTGTGAGTACCACCATGCTTTTTGCCGTTGAGAGTGTTAATAAATTCTTAAGCCCGTGACAATTCGACACTTGCAGATTTGTCAAATTTTTAAAGTACATAGAGGATGGCACTAAATTCTTCAATTTGTCACATTTCGACACTTCTAGAGTTTCCAGGTTACTGAAAACCTCTCCAACTTGGTATTCTTCCTCCGAAAGATGTGTCAACTTGGTATTTGCTTCCAAAACTAACTTTTTTACATTGGGGAATGTATCCTAAGAATTGAAAAAAAGAAATACGTTAAACAAAAACAAAGATTTTGAATCGGTAAATTTCATCCATGGTTTCTAATTTTTAGTTTAATTTTAATCCCACCCCTAACTTTTGAATTATTCTATTTAGATTCCTAACCTTTTAAATTTTCATTTTGATTATATTTTACATTTTTCACTAACAAATGGGAAAAAAGATAAGATCACATGATATGCAAAAGTAATGTCCACATGGCATGTTACATAATAAAAGCTTTTTTTGGCTTAGACGCCTGATGGCGAAAGTGGAATCAAAATAAAAAATTAAAGATCACGGATGAAATTTACTATGCATGTGAAATATTTTACTTGCAATCCTAATGATTAACTTTTTAAACATTTTAGAAGATCTAAATCCTTTGTTATTTGTACAAAAAGACTTTAATCCATAATTTAGCATTGAAAATTCAACAATCGATAGAAAATGTTATTGAATTTTCAATAATTGATTATGGATTCATATTTCTATAGAATACATCACTTAGAATTATATTAATTCATATAAATATTATAAATTTAATATTAAAAATTTTATTTAATATTTATATAATTATTATTTTCTAATATTACTTTAATTAGTATTTTCTAATTTTATTATTTATTAATATATTTAATTTTAATATTATTTAAAGGACATTAAATTCTAATATGATTAAATAGTAATATTCAATATTACTATTAAATAGTATCAAATAATATTATGCAAATAATACAATTTTATTTAATAAATACAATATTATTTTTAATTAATTCTTAAATTTTATTTTGTATATTGAATTATTATATATGAAACAATTTAAGTATTTTCTTTTCATGTATAACAAAATTACTTACCAAACATGTTCTATGTGTTCAAGACAATTAAAAAAAATATAAACTAAAAATACGAAATTATACCCAACAAATCTTAAGTGCTTACATTCTATATAGATATTAGGGGTTCATACCTCAGTGACCCAAAGCAAGCGTTGTTGAGAAGGTATAATTTCCAATTGACTCTCTGCAAATATTTCCGGAAAGTTCAGATGCTGCCTAGCTAATATCTCCACATTGTCGCATCCTCTCACCTCCAATTGTTTTAAGGATGGCCATCTTGTAGTATGCAACCTAGAGTAGAAATTCTTCAATTTGGGTAGCCAATGAAGTAACAGGTCTCTTATTTTAGGAAATATAAACATAGTGGTTGATTCATTGGAATTGAGTCCATGATCAAGTCCAATTACTTCTACCAAAGATTCACACTTCACTATTTCAAGATATTCAAGTTTGTCCAGTCTTTTCATCATTTGAAATGGGATAATATTCAGAAGACTTTCACAATTTTTCACTATAAGGAAAGTTAGTTCACAAAATGAACCAAATGTGAGTTTATCATCCCATATCGTTGTCCAATATCCACTGCCAATGATTACCAATTCTCTTAAGTTAGGGAATACCACCTACAAAAAATTTATTTGATTGCATTAATAAGGAGAAATAAATTATACTACTAGCTCAACAAGATACACAAAAGAAGAGTAAAAGTATCAATTTCAAATCCTAACAAAAATTTAAGAAAGATGAAATTAATGAAGAAAAGAAGAGCTAGCTACAAGCATAACCAAAGGATTCTAAGAGCATTAAAAACTACTAATTGAATTACAGAATAGGATAATTGTAATAACAATAATCATAAAACAATAAGTACTTAAAATGTATATACAAAATGAGGTAATTAAAGGTATTTCTCATCTATTACACTAGAAATTTGTTACATTATTTTCGATAATTGATTTTTTTATGGATTAACTTATCAAAGCCATAAATTTTTTTGCTCACTATTAAAAGTCTAAATTAATATTAAAATTCGATATTTTTTAATTTGTTATTATCCTCTCGCATGTGAAAGGAGAAAAAAGAAAGACAAACACAAAGCTAGAGTGTGCTATATAATAGATAAACTACTTATAAATAAATTTAAATGGGTCATTGAATAATTTGTGCAGTTATCAATTCATATTTTTTAATAATATTCATATTCTATGAATTATGTAAAATTGTGATTTCGTTATATGGCTTTCTAATATTATGTTTTGCTTATTTTGTTAAATTCGTTTAAAGAAAGAACAATAAAATTAATTTATTAAGCCATTTAAAATTTATTGGCTATTTTTATATGTTAGGAGACCTAAAATAAATTTAAATCAGTATTTTAAGATATGTATATATATATAAAGTCATATCATTTATCAAATAAATATCATAATGTTTCATTAATATTTTTGGGAACAGAAACATAATAGAAAATTTAAATTCATATTTTAATTGTTTTATCTTTTATAGTTACCAAATCAATATCTAAAATGACAAAAATAATCCAAATTTAATAGCAATATCACATTAAATAATATGAAAATAATCAGCCCTAAAAAAGAAAAATAATGTAAAGTTGAAAAGCAATAATCATTTTAAATCTAATTCAATTAGAGTATATCAAACAATCCATTTGTGGCTTATTATATAGCAATAATAAATCTCATACACATTTAAACTCCTTAATGATTTAAAAGAATAAAAACTAAATTTTATTAAAAATAATTTAATTTGGTACAAAATTTAAGATTTATAAGGAAATAAATAGGAAAAATTATCAATTAAGGATAAAGTTTATTTATTTAAAGTTTTCAATGTTAATAAATAACAAAAAATAGCCAATATTAAAAAATCATTAATTAAGGATAAAATAGTTAATTTAATAAATAATAAGTTGTTCACAATTTAAACTTTTGAAATTAATAGATTTATAAATAAAATAACGATAAAAATAAAGATACCATCATGAAATAAGAAACTAACATCCAAGAAAAAATTACTTTGAACTTAGAAGGTGAGTTATATTTCTTTTGGTCAAATTTTATGATAATTTATTGAAAATTTTCAAAATATTGAAAATTTCAAAATTTTCAAAACAAAAAAAAATTGAAAATTTTCAATGATTTATTTTTTTAATGTGTTTGATATTTCATTTCAAAAAAACTTGATAAAAGATTTTAACAAAAAATGCCGAAAATCTTAAGTACTTTTTAGCTACTTAATATATTAAATTAATTTTTTTAAAAAAATTATTTAATTACAATACTCTTATAATATTTTTTTATAATTTATTCTTTTCTTTTCAAACTTTTTTTAATTCAAAATAACTCTAAAACCATCTCTCTTTTATATAAACGATTCAATAAAAAAGCCTCCAACCTTTAGTAGCACACCAATCATTTTTATATGACAATTCAATGCTTAAATCTTCAAAACTATAAATTTAGCATTTTATTTTTGGCCTTGAATTTGTTAAATCTAACAAACATCATCTTAGAATCATTTGCTATGTGAAGAACAATACGCACAAACAAAAACTAACCTTATCACTGAAAAATGGTGCAATACCAATAGTCTTTATATTCTGCTCTCTTGGAGACGAAGTTGTGAATGCAACCATCTTTGGACAATCTTCTACTATAAGTACTGTCAAAGATGGATATTCCACTATATCATGCCCCAAATAAAAACTTCTTAAGTTTGAACATGACTCGAGAATTATGGATCTAAGAGAAGGGAACATGATTGTGTTTGTTGTTGCTACCTCTGCTTCATCATTTGTGATAATTTGCTCCATCATCGCACAATTTCTTACTTCCATCCGCATCAATTGCACAAGATCCAAAGCCATGGAAGTGGTGAATATGAATTTCAAGCTGTTACATCCACAAACTTCCAAAATTTTAAGATTTTTGAAATCTAAACTTTTTTGAAGATTATCCCTCCATATCTCTATTGCCTTAGAAGCGTCAGAGAGCACCAAAAACTCTATTCCTTCATAGTCACCCTACCAAATCCAATTTATGACAGCAATTATTACCAAAAAAAAGAAAAAAAAAAGAAAATTATAAGACTTAAGTAGAATTAAACCCTCTCAAAATTCATAATAAATCATTGAAAATAACATCCACCAATAAAAAGCTAGCCTAAAAGGACATTTATTTCGAAGATTAAAAAAATTCTGCAAATCAAGAAGTACCTTTTTGGTGTACAACTGTTGGACGGTAATATTAAGGTCACCATCCCAAAGTACCTGCTCATCTTCACCTCTAATTACTTTTATTCTTTGCAAAATTGGTGTATTTAAATCTCCCTTGCAAAAGATCTCCAATTCAGGACAGTGGCTCATTATTACTTGGTCCAAAGATGGGAATCCAAATGTGTGATCGCCAGAACAAAAGCTTTTAAGGCTTGGTAAATGTCGAAGCTCCAAACATTCCAACCTATTGAAAATAATGTCAGTGGTTGCTTCATCATCTCTCTCATTTCCAACAATTTCTTTCATTGAAAGACAGTTTTTTATCCTCAAATTTTTTAGTTGGACCAAACTTTGGACTGCTAAGGATGTAACTAAGTTTATCATTGCTCCACACTCCCAAACATCCAAAGTCATGAGATTTTGAAAAGGTGTTGAGGACAGCCCTAAACTAATCATACTGCCACAAAAGCAAACTTCAAGTGTTTCTAGATTGGGAAGAATGTAGTCAAGTCGTGACCCTTGCATCCACATGTGTTTTAGATAATGAAGGCCACTCAGTCTTAAGTTTCTAAATGGCGAAAGTGTTAGAGCATTTGTCCCCTTGCCAACACCTCTTTCGTAGGAGAATAAATCATTAAAGTTGCAACAACAAATCTCAAGCTTTTCCAAATTTTTGAATCTTTCAAGGAAGGTAGTTGGAAAAATAGCAGATATATCATGGTAGCAGAGCAAATAAAGAACTTTTATTTCATGGAAAAGGCCTTCGGGAACCTTGCTATCACATATTATTGCAATGTCATCACTGGTCAAAGACATTTCTTCTAATTTGGGAACCACCTACAAAACCAAAGAAAAATCAATTGCAAGTTTGTAATTTTTGAATGAAAATGGAAAATTTATCTACCAAAAGAAACATTACAGCATCTAAGCATTTGGCTAATTGGAACAGAGGTGCCTGTGTCTCCTTACTTAAAGTCTAAAAAGCTGGTGAATTTCCCTTATAAGACTTTTCCCAAATTTAGAAAATTTAGAGAAATGATAAAATTCAAATTTGAAGTAAATGACCAATAAAAAAAAATCAGGTACATGGTATTATTACAACTAGGTAGCATTTTAAGTGTGATCCGAAGTTCATACCTTTTCAACTAAGAAAAGTGGTGGTTGGATCGGGGAGTCCAATTGGTCGTCCTCACTCATATCTGGCAAATTAAGACAACCGATGTCAAGTATCTTCAGTTTGTTGTAGTGGTATGTTTTCAACTTTTTTAACATTGGCCACTTCGTTGTATGCATCCCGGGATAGAAACATTTGAGTTTTGGCAGGTTCCATAGCACAAGGGAGGACACTTGATCAAACTTAAAATTAGTTACACTCGTTTCCCATCCTTTCGCTTTTGAAACAATCTCCTCTACTGCACATCTATCTACTGTAAGATCTTTAAGTTGTGGAAGAACTCTGGCAACTGAGGCTGGAAACACATTCTTCAGACTCCAACAGTTCCTAACAACTACTTCTTTTAGATTTTGAAATGTTAAAATTCCTTGGGGGTCCTCGTTCCAAACATTCTTCAATTTTGGTAGATTACGAACATGCAATTTTCTTAGTTGAGTAGCCACAACATGTGTTTCATTCACATTCAACCTTTGGAGTTCAAATATATGTTCCATAGAACCACAACTAGATACTTGTAGAGTTTGCAGTTGTTCAAATGTAGTCAACAAATCAAATGGCAAAATGGTAAAGAGCTCATTACAGTGTTCAACTACCATTTTTTCCAATTTGCAAAAGGAATTTACAGAGAGTTCATTGTGCCATATCATCTTCATATTTCTCAACCAAGAAATAATCAGTTGCTTCAAACTTGGGAACGCAACCTATGCGTAACGTGCAAGAGTAATTAGTTCCAAGAATAAGATATAAAAAAAAAAAAAAGTATCGTACAGAACTTTATAACAATAAATCTACCTTTTCATCGAAGAGAGCTTGTGGAGAGAAATGCTGGTTATCCTCCATTGTAGATTTATATATGAATCCCCGCAACTGAGGACATTGCTCTATCTCCAGAAGCTTCAAGGATGGGAATTCAATATTATAACTTTCTGAACAAAACCCAATAAGATGTTGAAGCTTGCTTATCTTTAGAGAGTTTAATTGAGGAAATGAAATCTTAGCTTTGTCTGCTTCTTCTATATCCTCTGCAAATATCACCTGTCTTAAGCATTTGCATTCAACTATCTCAAAGCATTCAAGATGCGTTAGACTTCTGGCCATAGAAGATGATAATAGCTGTTTCAAGTTGTCGCAACCCTCAATAGTCAAACTTGTTAGATTTTGAGTGCCATAGTCAGATACATTTGAAAACCGGTTGTGCCATATCCTTTCAACATTGATTGAGGACAACCGAAGGCTCTCCAAGCAAGGGAACGCCAACTACATTAATGTAATTACACTACATTATTAGAAAAAGGCTAGTCTTTTAGTATAACATGTAGCAATAAAAACCAACGAATGATGTCTATCAATGCAACGGCATGCAATACATTAAGAGAGAAATTATTTCCCCTCACAAGATAAAGTGATTTAGTGTTATCAATTTTTTTTTCCAAGATCTAAATGACTATTCCGGTCAATTTTAGATTAAAATCAGATTAATAATAGTCACTAACTTACGTTATCAATTTCTATTTATTAAAAAAATCAAAATTGAAATAAAATGTTAAATTATCAAGTGAAAAATCATGTGCAAACTATGATTGAATTTTAATTCTGACACTTAGCCTCTGGACAATAGAGCATCCACATTCAGGCCATGGCCTCATTATCAATCACAAAGGCTTCCATTTGAGAGTATATATAGTTTTAGAGAAAATCGGACATGAGACCAACATGATATGCATTTGAATGAGCATTTAAACAAAAAGGATTTATATTTGATATATTATTAGAGTATATATTTCAATACACTATCAATGAATGAAAGGTTGAAACCTCATTAATTAATAAACCTAAAAGCTCAAAAGTCCTTGAAAATAGACTACTTCAAATTTTGGATATTTGTTAAGACTTCACTTATTAGATGCCTTTTCCTTTTTTTCTTTTGTTTTCCATCCATCATTGATTTTTTTAATTTTTTAATTTTTTGCCTTTTTCTTTCTATTCATTTTTTTTAAAGCAAAAACATAGCAACTGACGTAAAAGAAAAACATACCTTTTCACTAAAAAGCGGTAACTGATTTTGACATGAAGAATTAGAGCCTCTTCCGTTTTCAAAGCAAAAGCTAATGAGCCGTGGTAGACCATGAAGTGTCAAGGATCGCAATTGAAGAAATTCATTTTTATAAGCTGCACCATCATCACTAATGATATATTCGATCTCCGAACCATTTTGGATATGGAGATTCTTCAACCGCTGAAAGCCTTCCTCATCCATCAACTCATGCAGTGCAATCTTGACACCTTTCATGTCATCTAAATATAGATCTTCAGTTTTCTTTAGAAACATTTTGAATCCATGATCTAACTCATCAACACTTGTATTTAACTTGAGTTTCAATGTCCTTGAGTGTTTACACTCACCAACCCAATCCCATTCTTTTCCTATGAAAATCTTGTATCTTTCCAACTTCTTGCAGAACAAGTCCGCTGGCATAATCTTGGCATCAGGAATGTGAACATCTAAAGTGGTCAGACGAGACAAAAGCTTCAATTCAGCAAGACTAGCATTGCTTTGTTGGTTGGCCTGCCTCTCTACTTCCCATTGAACAAAACTGTTACCCATATACAATTCTTCCAATCTAGACAAACTCGATATGACCCCTGCTGGAATTATTTTGAGTCTGGTACAATCACTGAGATCTAACAACCTTAATTTGATCAATTCCCCAATTTCCTTAGGTAGCATTTCAATATCCGAATCGAAAAGGCTAAGAATTTCTAAATTTTTTAGCTCACCAACCCCAGCAATATCTCCCAAATTACATTGGTCTAGGCACAAAGTCCGAAGGTTTGTTAGGAGACTAATTGAGGAAGGTAAGGACTGAAATTGCATATCAGTCAAATCTAAAACTTTAAGATTTAGTGTTTCCTTAAAAAAGTTGATTGGCAATTCCACGGAATGATCCTCGTTATACAGAAGAAAAAGATCAAGTTGCGGACACTTCAACTCTTTGGGAAAATAGCTAATATTAGCATATCTCAAACTAATCATGGTACATTTTTCCATTGTCTCTCCATTAGGCCAATCTTCCAGATCATCTTCGTCTTTTAGTGCAAACACGTTGTAGTCCCTATAAGCGATTGCTAAGGCCACATCACAAATCAGATCATGCATATCAACACGCACATTTGTGTAACTATCACGCAACAAACAAGAGGATTTGAGTTCACTCACCACTGTCAACAATCTATCTCTTGTTTCTTCCACTCCGTTGACACCATGAAATAAACCCAAACCAATTGTATATCTCAGCAAGTCTCTAATGAAAGCGTTGTGACCTAGCAGCCCGCAAAGCAAGAATGTCTGTTTGAGTTCTTCTCTTTCCAAATGGTTGTAACTCAACTCTATGGCTGAATAAACATGTGCTGGTATTCCTTTGAAGTTTGTTGGGGAAGGCCTTTGTAGTTTTCTCAAAGCATCATTCCACGCAAATAAGCCTTTGTTTCTTAAAGCCCTTGCAACTGTTGCAATGGCGACAGGCAGTCCTGCACATTTTTTGGCTACTTCAATTGCTGTCAATCGCAACTCAGGACTTTCAGCATCGTCTCCAGCCATCTTCTTAAACAGGTCCCAAGCTTCTTTATCTTCCAAAACAGATATTGCAAAATTTTTTCGAGCATCCATCTCATTCCTTAGAACATTTAGATCTCTTGAAGTGAGCAATATGTTGCATCCCTTATTTTCATCTCCAAATGGAATGCCCACATCATTCAAATCTAGTTTCTTCCATATATCATCTAAAATAACGAGAACCTTCTTCTCTTTCTTCAATCTTTCGCGTAATCGGGCTGCTCTAACCACCACATCCTTTCCTTTTAATTTTAGACCCAAAGAAGCTGCAAGTTGATCTTGAACTTTTTGAAGTTCAGAAGTCTGATTCACAAATGCCATAGTCACCGAATCAAATAACTTGTCTTCTTTGGCCTGTCTATAAACTTCTTTGACTAGCGTGGTTTTGCCCACACCAGCCATCCCATACACCCCTATCAAGTTGGTAGTACCATCTTTCAATGCCTCCATTATGTCTTTAAATACCTTCGCTCTTGATTCAAAGGCCTCAAAATCTTTAGGAGTTGCATCCACTATGTCTGGAGGAGGAGCAGGGCATGAAACACTGTTGAATTCACCTTGTTGAAGGTGTTCATTAAAAGCCGCGACAACTTCTTCAGCTTTCCTGCTAACTTGGTAGCGAGACTTGATGTTGGGGCATAAGCCTATGAAGCACTTGCTCTTTGCTTTGTCTTGAAGATCCTTCACACTTTTCACCTCGTCTTCGAATACCTTGTCCACATTGCTGCACCAAAGCTCGACGTCTGGTTTTATCTCCTCCGCGTTCCTTTCTGCAGCTTCGATATCTTTCTGCACACTTTCTCTTTTCGCCAACAGCATCTTCATTTTCTCCTCAAACTTCTCAACATTCTTCTTATAGATGATCACATACCTCATATGACGTCTGATTTCTTGGAAGATGCCTTTCGCAGCATCCGAAGAAAGATTGGATGCAGCTCCAGTAGCGATGGCTTCCATTTTTTTGGTTTTTTTCTTTGTGTCAACCAGACCAGCAAAGCAAATAAAAGAACAAAACAAAGACAACAGGAGAGGAATCGACAAAAAAGATAATTGACAGCAAGCAATATATGTAATCAGTTATGGGTAAAGACAAGAAATGGTTTGGACAGACTCGTCTTCCGATCCAGCAGCTATGAATGAGGGAACCAGAGATAAACAAAGAGGAAAACAGAACAAGGGGACTACAACTAGGTTGGAAAAAGGCAAAAGCAGCAATGTGGGAAGTAGGGGAAAGGGTTTTTCGAATGAATGAGCAACTGAGTTTGAGCAGAAAGTTAAGAAAGGAAATTGTTTTAGAGAAAGATCAGTTCAGGAGAAAGGTTGAAGCTTTGGGTATAGAGAAGACAAGAAATGGCTTGGACAGACTCTTCTTCATATCCAGTAGCTATGAATGAGGAAACCAGAGAAAAACAAAGGGGAAAAACAAAACAAGGGGACTAAAACCAGCTTAGAAAAAGGCAAAAGCAGCAAGGTGGGAAGCAGGGGAAAAGGTTTTTGGAATGAGTGAGCAAATGAGTTTGAGCAGAAAGTTAAGAATGGAAATTGTTTAGATGAAGATCAGTTCAAGAGAAAGGTTAGAGACTTGGGCATGGAGAAGAAAGCGCAAGGACTTTTTATAAAAGCCGATGGCAAAGATTAATTGAATCGGTCATCACATTGCCCAAAGTCTTTCTTTGTAACTTTTTGGCCTTTCGTTTAACTTCAACTCAGCAATTCGTCTTTACATTCACAATTTCACGTGTTCTTGACCATCATCTCAACGTTGAAATAGCAATTATCAAGAAAGACTGGCCCAGTTGCTGGCTTCACATAAAGCGCAAGGATTTTTTATTTAAGCCGATGGCAAGGAAATTGAATCAGTCATCACATTGCGCGAAGTCCCTTCTTTTAAATACTTATAGTATTTTCATTTCTATTAAAAGAAGAAATTAAGAAACTATTTCACACTGCAATTTGCTTAGAATTCCGAATATTGAAAATTATGAAGAAAGACCATCTTTTGAAAATACAGCTTCCGAACTGTTTCGTGCATCGCAATATTATTGGAGAAGGAGGTAGGTTTTTTAAAATTAATTCACGACACACAAGAAATAACAAATTTTGGGTAATTATAAAATAAATTACTCTGCATTTTTATTAAACTCAACTAATCTTTTTATAGGTTTATTAATAGAGAAAAATACTAAAACAATTAACAGATAATGAAAAAGTGAGGAAAGTGACTGAATATAAAAAATCACTCAACCATGTTTAATAACTACTACCCACTAATCCTAAAAGCTATCATCTACTACCAACTATATCCTAAAACCCAATACTTTGAGCCCAGACGTGAATTCAATTTTGAATCATTTTTCAACATTCCTCTTGATTCAAAATCACATACTCAAAGACGTAATTTGAAGTAGAAAAATTTTTCTCTTGAAAGTGCTTTTGTGAAAAGATCTGCCAACTATTCATCCATTCCACAATGCTCTATTTTGATTACACCATCTGCAACTATGTCACGAATAAAATGAAAGCGAATGTCGATGTGCTTTTTTCTCCCACGAAATGTTGGATTCTTTGTCATAGCAATTGCTGACTTGTTGTCACAAAAAAGTTTAGTTGTTCTATCTTGAACTTGACAAAGATTTGTGAGAAGTCTCCTAATCCAAATTGCTTGACAAGTTGCTGAAGTTGCTGCTACATACTTAGCTTCTGAATATGATAAAGCTGTTGTAGCTTGTTTCTTTGAAAATTTTTATCAACCATGACTGTGTATGTAAGGAATATTATATTGCAGGGATAGTGGGATATGAAATGCAACGTTTGTTCCATACGACCTTACCATTCATGAATTTATATGCATGAAATGCAATGACATATTTACATGAATGATGAGATGTATTCCTATGACTAATGCAGCATACTTGTATAGAATGCACGGACCTACTGTATGTATGAGATATTTATGTATGAAATGCAATGCATGTGTTGTGCTGGCTTAATAAGGTAAACACTGCCTTAAGATACGTAACGAGATAGAATGCATGAACTACTTATCAAGAAGTGCATGGGATGCATGTGCATGATGTAAAATGCGTGTGCTACCTATCGATATGGATGTGATGAAATGCACGTATTATCTTATTATAATGCGCATGAGATGAGATACATGTATGATGTATGAAATGCAAAGGATGAAATAAAATACAATTTTTTTTGAAAAGCAAAAATGAAATAAATAATGCTTGAAAATTAGTCTTTATTCGGCCATAAACAAAGAATTTAAGAAAAATCCTTAATCTTTGAAAATGTTCTTTTGTCTTTTTTTTTTCTTTTTTTTTCAATGATTGACCTAAAATAAATACCACATATTCAAATATAATGTACACAATCAAAGAATATATAAAATAAAAAAATAAAATAAAATGACTCAAGAATTCAAAATAAACAAGTAAGAAAAATAATATAACAACCATACAACAAAATAATATAACGTATAATGTCCTAATTTTTGGTAATTTTCTAAAAAGGTGGCATGGCTCTATCCTACGCAGGCTTCCTATGGCTCACGATATGCTGGGTTAAGATTTATATGTCTAAAGGTTCCCAGACTATTTCTCACATCATCGCCTATTATAGACTAGTGAGGTTCCATGATCCTCACCCATTATGGGTTATTAACGAAAATGTTCAATCTGAGTGAAAGTATTTTGCTAGCAAATGCAGAGGTTATCACCTCACGAGAGCGTAGCTACTTCATTTCCTCCTAAAAAGGATAGAGCCCGGGTATAGAGCTCATGCATGCGAGTGAATATGCAAAGTGTGTGCAAGGTAATGTATTAATCAAAATAACATGAATAAATCATAACAAAAAAAAAAATCAAATGAAGTAATAACTAACACATAATTTATTTTATTTATTAACATGAATGTTTTCAAAAAATAGAATAAAAAAATTAAATTAAATATCAAATAAAATTAATTAAATCCAACCATTGTCAATAGCGTATAATTAAAATTTTGGCCTGACTCTCAAAAGTCCCCAGCGAAGACGCCAAGCTGTCATAACGGTTTGGGACCGCCAGACGTAAAAGAGTTTTAAAATCGAAATAAATAGGGAGAGTCACCACCAATCTTTGTTAGGGTGTGATTGGCCACCCAAAAGCTTATCCTTTTAATAAAACTATAAAAGCGGGTTTAAAGTTTATCAAAAAGATAAATTTTGATCTACGAAAAACTAGGTTGGGTCCGGGAGTCGGTTACGCGTGGGGAAGGATTAGCACCCCCACAACGCCCATAAATTGGTACCATTTAATTACACGCTATTTTCGGTGTTGGATAAAAACGATTTTAATTTGAAATTTAACACTAATTCCCTTCATTTGAAAAAAAATAAAATTTTGCTAAAATATTTATTTAGAACTATTGAGAAAATCTTTAAGTTAAAGAATTGTCTTAAAATTCTCCATCATCTAGGCAGAATTTGAAATAGCTCTTTTCGCCTAAGATTTAACAGCAATAATCCTTAAAATAAAATAACAATCTTATAGAAACTATGTTAGTGACGCTCCAACTTCTAGGCAGAGTTACCAAGAATTATTTTTTTTGAAATATTAATTTTTAATGTATTTATAATATCACAAAGGATTTTTTAGTATTATTTCCTTTTTTTTTTTACTATAAAAGATTTTATCATCCGAACAGCAAATTAAAGGAGAGAATAATGCAAATCAATTATCGATGATAAACATGCTAACGTATGTATGCTAATGAATGTCATTTACAATGAAATGCAATTTAAGAGTTGGATTCTTAAATATAATGAGACCATCCCGACTCTCCAACATCTAGGCAGAGCTTAGGCGTGACTGTTTATATTTAAGATCCCAATTTTATTATTATAATTTTATTAATTAATCTTATTATTAATGCGAATTAAGAAATCGTGTGAAAAGATTAACGAAGTAAAATTTTTTAAATACCCCATCATCTAGGCGGCATTCAAGAACAAATTGCTTCAAATAGAATTTCATACGTGTCCTTTGTTTTTTAGGGATTTGAAGTAAAGGCTTGGTATAGGTTTTGAGGTTTGGTTTTAAAGTTTTTTAGAGGTTTTTTAAAGCTTGATTTAGGAATTTTGGATTTTGGGGGTGTTATTTAAGGTTTAAAGTTTGGATTTTGTGGTTTGGGTTTGTTTAAGGTTTGGATTTTAGGGATTTTGGATTTTGGGTTTGAATTTTAGGGGTTTGAAATTTTTAAGGGTTTGAGTTAAAGATTTTGATTTTTAGGGGTTGGATTTAGAAGGTTTTGATTTTAGGGTTTAGAACACCTAGCGATTTTGAAAATTAAAACCATTAATGTTTAAGTTTCGTTTTTAAGAAAATACGAACATCTCTAAAAATCCTCCAAATCTAGACGATTTTCGAAGCAAGATTCGATTTTAAAAATTTTAAAATTTAATTTAAAAATTTTTTATATTTATTTTTTTATGAAAATTTATTAATAATAATTCCCCAACATCTAGGTGAAATTATTTCTTTAGAAAAATATTTTTTATTCCCTCCAACATCTAGGTAGGGAAAATAATAATAATAATTTTTTTAGCATTTTTTAATATGTATTTTTAATTATTACTTGTTTTCAATTTTATTATTATTAAAACAATTAAAAATCTATCATAACAAATTTAATAACTTATCATGCATAAATATGTAAAAATACCTAAAATAACAAAAATATTAATGTACATAAAAAAAATTAAAAAATTAAAAAAAAAAAATTTTTTTACCTGAACCAAACCAGTCAACGGTCCGATCAACGCTGGTCTGGACCGGTCTGACCGGTTCGGTTCAATGGGCAGTTCGAGAGATCCAGCGGTTCGAACCGGTTCACTGACGGTTCGTTCGAACCGATTGGAGGGTGGCTGAAGCGGGTTGACCGGTCGATTTGCGAGGATCTCGGGTCGGGTTCGGTCCATGTGCGGATCCTCTAATGCTTGAAACGATGTCATTTTGGTCCTATGCTCAAAATGATGTCGTTTTACTTTTATGCTTTCTTTATAAAAGCAGTCTCTTTTTTTTGTTTCAGTTCATTTTTCTGTTTCTGAAAAAAAAAAAAAGGTGAGAAGGGCTCTGGGCAGAGGTCCGGAACCCTCGTCGTCCGACCACCGAAGCACCGTGCCGACCGCCGCCTTGTCCGCCGTCGTTGGTGGTCGGAAACTTCAAAAGGGACCAGGAGGTTCCTTTCGACGCGATCTTTCTATATCTGGTCTCCTCTTTGCTGGAAACAACCTCGATCGACGTAGATCGAGGTTCTAAGTTTTCTGTTCTTCTTCTCTTTTTTTTTTTAATAAAAAATACTCAAACTAATAACCTTTCTTTTTTTGTTGCAGGTACCTCCTTGGTGCTGGGTTCCTCGTCGATTCGGCGAGGATTATGGTTTCTGTTTTTTTTTTATAGTTTTTTTTTTATTTTTGACAGAATCTTCCCCTCTTTCTTCTCTGTCTGTTTTGGCTTCGCTAGGAGCTCTATTTATAGAGCTCCAACCATACGTGTTTAGAGGGAAAGGTATGGGGCTCGATCACGGAATGTAAACACGAGCCCCATGCCTCTTTATTTCTTTTGTATTTTATGGT